GTGTGTGTGTATATATGTGTGTATCAAACAGGAATTAAACCCATTTAAGGTTCTGAGGTTTTGAGGTCAGGTTTCCTTCATGTCACCACCAAGATCGATGGATGTGACCTCTGACTGCTCCAATTTGTATACAAACATGGCCCTGGCCAATCACGGCATCGCGTGGGATGGTGCCAACCAATGAAAGCATCTGGCAGCATCGTGCTCTGTGGCACCCCCATCTTTTGTTCGTCAGGATTAGTGCCGTGGCAACGCTGGTCGCCTGGGAGGTGAGTTTCCCAGAGCAGCGGGACCAGGACAGAAACAGACCGCTTCAAGTATAACTTCCTTCCCGGCCAATTGGGAAACAGAAGTGGAGTGGTGTGTCTGTGTGTCACACTGTGGCCTCCAACTCCAAAACTTCCACCTACACTGCCAACTCTAATGAGGTGCCATCCTGAGCCACAAGCTCAAAGTGTGTTTGTCTGTACGAGTGTGTGAGTGGGTGGGTTGGTGAGGGGCTGTCCTTATGTGCTCTCTTCTGTGTGGGGTACTCTGTAGAAAAGTCACCCCACTCTCCCTCTTTTTTCTGTTGGTGGACTACATTAGCCAGAAGGGCGGAGGGCCAGACAGCTGAAATCACCGCTGCTGATGAAGCATGTGACTCCAGACCGAGGCCCTTTTGTTTGGACAATTACAGCCAACACACAGAGCCCTGGAAATGCAGTGTGTCATGGGAATAGGCAAGCATGGGAATGACTGGACATTAGGACTTATTTAAACCTGGTTTTGTTATTTCAGATTGTTGTTCTTGAGAGAACCTGCCCACAAAGGGTTCTTAAAGTTACAACCCATAAAATTTTCATGAACTCAAACCCAATCTTTGATACTATTTATGGTTGGTGTTTTCCTTATAATAGCCATTCAATGTGTTTACATTCTTTAATTACCTCTTTAGTTTGCATTGTTAGAGTTTCCATGCTGGTGTTTGAATTGCCTTCATGCCCTCAGAGGATTAACAAGGAACTACAAGTAAACCACATGTCCTACTTGCTGCTGCTTCACATTAGATTGACTAGTTAAATGCAGCAGCAGTAGGAAATGTAGTGTTTGCATTAGGTGGGTGAACAGTAAACAGTGAGGCTAATATCAATGATATAAAATTAAACACAGTTGGATAACATACATGCCTCATTTCATGTAAAGACACCTGTGCATGTGAGGGCAATCTGAATGGCGGATCCTGCCACAAACTATTTTATAAAGAGCTTATTACAAATATAACTGCAGAAACAAAAACAACCATATAAAGTATAAATGTATCTAAATTAAGTTCTTAATGGAGAAAGCCTCACATACTTGGATTTCAGGGGCATTTCAGTCCTACTGTATGGCACAAATGAATACAGTGGAAGCTGTATGTAAGGAAGACTGTCAAGCAAGGTGACCAAAAATAGGATCCCCAAGTCCAAGATTAGCCCAACAGTGTCAACTGTCAAAAATCATTTGTTGGACAGTACCCAAACATATTTTTCTAAGTGTAACTCAAGCCAACTTCACACTGTTTATACGGGCTAAGACTGCTGGATCTGATCCAGGATAAACCAAACAACCAATGTCCGTTTAGTGTCTTTTAAACAGGATTTGCTCCTTATGCTGCCCAGAGCAGCCAGTGATTTCAGCACTACTCAGTCTGCCTGTACATACAGTATAGATCACTGCATGTACTGAGTTCAGGAAGTTACATCACCAGGAAATGGTAATGAATAACAATAAAGAACTGAAATGACAACGGAGAAAGGTTTCAGCAGTTTGAGTACAGTAACGTGTCTCAATAAAATGCAGGTTTTTGGCGCTAGGAGAGGATTCACCTTTGGAATTGACTTTCTGGAGCAGATGGACCAGAAATCAGTGAAATCTGTGAATGAAAGGTTTCCACTGAATGTGAAAGAGAAAAATCAATGAAATACTGGGAAGTTATGAACAAAGATTTGAGCTGAAAGAAAATCTCACCAGTAGAAGAGAGAAAAAGCGGAATTCCACTATCAATATAAAAAAACTCTTTGCTACGCCACCCTTGGAAAGCAAACAGAATTGACTGCGAAATACAGATAAAACAACAAACTGCAAATATTCAACACAATGACAAAATCACACAGCACACACCTATCCCCTGCTTCCTCCTCTCACATTGTAGATTATGTTTTTGCTTTTTCAGTTGCGGCCAAATCACCTCTGTAGTCTCAAGCCTAAAACAGACACACAGACATACACACACTGTGTCTCCCATTTCCCGGCTCTAAATCCTATTCACGAAATTTCCATAAGCCCAAAAGGAAGCCAGCCTGCTGTATGTTGTGAGTTCATGTACCTCCATGATATCCCATCTCTAATTACAGGTATTTGTTTGTTACCAACCCAAGCGAACACCAACACTCTCTCATGCTGTTTCTAGTCACTAATACGTAGAGAAACACATGCTATGATTACAGTGATAAGATGATATCCTAGCACTCCTATTCCCATGGCCCATGCAGTCATGTTAAAGGGATCTAAGCATGCATCCTGCCAGCTGTGCTAAAGGGCTTAACCCATTCTGTCTTTCAGAAACAGCCAGACACAAAACAAGCAAAATTATTACGGTACATATAAGGGCAGCTCAGGAAAATATGTCTATCTTTGGTCCTCTTTCTCTGACAATGTTATGTACAATAGATGAGAATCTACTGTATATGGTAAAGTACTCACTGTGTATTGTCAAAGAATGCTAAAGCAACTAAATTAGGGGAGAGCAAAACAGATATGAATCAATATCATACTGTCGCATCACTGTATGCACACTATTGTTGTACAGGTGACAATGCAATCCAATACAACAGAGCAAAATGACAGTGAGTGCAATAAAGCTTTTTTTTCTTATAATTTGACAAATCTAAATTAAGAGACAAGTAACATAGTTTAGTGTCAGTGTTTCATGACTGTATGGCCCACAGACCTTTTTCATAGCAGACATTTACCTTATGTCTGCATTCCATTTAGGTGCTTTTGTGAATGAGCTGCTATGTATCCTCACTGTTCTGGCTTACTGGGACACTTTAATGGAATGGGGCCATCATTAATGCTGTTAGTTTCACCAGTGCTGCCCCTGCTGTTGCTGAGAGGTTGGTTGAAGTTTCTGATATTAGTGAGTGTTAGGTCAGTAGTAGACACAGGCAATATCAAGATATTGTATTTGATTTTTATACATATATACACATGAAATGCATGCATAATGTGTGTACCTGAGCACCAGCAGTTTAGGGTGTATGAGAGCTGTGATTATTCTCTCTCCTAGCGACAAATTAGACCAAATACAGCCATATTGACATTTATGTCCTCTGATTTATTGGGACAGCTTCCTGCTTGCACGCACACCCTTGAAAAAGATAGGGCTTGACGTCAGACCAACCGACCAGACGCGCGCGTGCTCTGCTTTGTGTAAACAACACAAACAAACACACCCAGGATGAGACGTGTTGTTTTGTTTCTGTTTGGACCGTGATATTGAGTGGCGGCACGACACACTCGAAAAACAGAAAGAAAGAGAAGAAAGAGAGAGAGAGAAAGAAAGAAAGAAAGAAAGAGAGAAAACAGGTTGCTATGACAACCAGCGCAACAAGGTTTGTTGTCATTAGCAACCAAACTAGCGTTCGTTCGGGACCTGAAGGCTTTGGTTAGCCTCGCGGTTTACTAGCTAGTGAGTAGTTTAAAACACCAAGTAACGTTAAGGTAACTCTTATTTATTACATAAACAATGGACTCAGACTCGTTATACTACTCTTTTGAACTGGTTGCCGGTAGCGGATACACTTTAAACGTTGAGCAAAGAACCGCTCTGCAGACTTCCTTGGTGATCCTGAAGAAGAACTACAAGTTCCGTCGAGTCTTGTTTTGGGGCAAAATACTGGGATTAAAGGAGGATTACTTTATCGCCCAGGGGAGAGGAGAGGATGAGATGCAGGATAGAAAGAATCTCTATAGGTAAGACGGCCTCAGCTGTGATGCTGTGTCATTGGAGCGACTTTATGTCTACTTGTGTCTAAGTGATATTCCTGTTTCTCTTCAGCTTCAACTGCATGGACTGGCTCCTGCTCCCCCCTGTCACCGACTCTATGGTGGAGGAAGTGTCCAAAGCAGCAAAGGGTCGCTTCATAGGAGACCCATCGTATGTGTATGAGCATTTTGAGATCCACAGGCAAGGAGAGATGGATGAGGAGGAGGTAGCGGTAAGTGTGATCAATCCTGTGTGGGATGACTCAAGAACGAGTGTTACTGTAGTATTCAGCTGTACTGCATCAGAGGAAGAGTTCAATCATCTTGTAGGTAGTTTATAAATATGTGTATACATTCGTCTCCTGTTATCCACAGAGATTCTAGCAAAGCGTTACGCAGTGAAACTATGACTACAGCCACAATAAGGCTGGATGTGGGACCAAAATCAACAGTAAAAAAACTATGACCTTCTTTTGCCAACATATATTTAGACTAACAATATCTCAGATATCTCTGCAACACACAGGTTTTATTCATAAAGCATAAGAGCAAAAGAGAATTGCGGCTTACATCTCAAAGATGAGGTTTTGCAGTGATTTATTGTTTCTGGCTGATCCCAACAATATCTGTACAGCCACGAGATTCCAGCGTAGTGATGGGGCTGTTCTTGGTTTCAGACCAAAGTCAAGGAGGAGAGCAGGCTCGCAGTAACAGTTCATCAGATCGATGAGCAAGTGTCTGTGGCACCCCGCGGTGCCTTCGTCAAGAGTCCGCACGGCCATGTCCAGATCAACCGCAGCTTTGGTGGTAAATATACATCACTGTGACGTTGTGTGCCTGTGTCTTTACAGATATGATACAATTCAGTTTGAATTACAAGCCAGTGAATGTAAATGCTCCTCAGGTCTGTCTCACTCAGAAGCGGGGAAGCTTGACAACTTCCTTCACTTCAGAGAACCAAAGAATCTGAAGAAGAAATCCATCCTGGAAATGGGCGATTTGAACCCGGCTATCGACTTCCTGGATGTGCTGAGTGATGATATTCCTAAAGGTGAAACCAGTTCAATCTGAATGACGTGATTTTAGCACAAATCATTATAGTGTTTCAACTGACTGAAAGTCAAGAGGTATTTCTTCCAAGTGGGAACAACTGAATCATTTTAAAGAAAAAAAAAATTACAGGAACTCCGTCAACCTACTGCCCAGCTAAAATAGGTTTTCCTGGTAATATGTTATAAGGATTTCCCTTAACTTTTCCCACCATTGAACCAAATCAATCAGAGGTTTTGGATACAGTGATCTAATAACTAGGCAATGTTGTTGTTGGATTAGAAATATCTTGTCTACTGTAAGTCTGGCCTCCAGGTCTGCAGAGGAAAATTGGAGAGAACTCTACTAACACCATTTCCACATGAACCTGAGTTAGATAAAAAGAAAGGAACAGTATTGGGCTGTTGAAGAGTATTAAATATATTAGAAAAATCCAATCAAACAAACAATAAGCAAACCTAATATTGTGAAAAGAATAATGTGAATTTAGTCGTGTTTAGTTTTGGAGTCGGTTGCTTAGCTGGATGATAGTGAGTGCAGATAAAGTGACTGTGAATAGTAAGTGTATGTGTGAGAGAGGGAAAAAAATGTTTAGCCTCCATAACCAAACACGCAACAGATGTCTGATTTAAGAGGGCTTCCACAAGTGTAAATGTTTGTGTGTGTTCTTTGAGTTGATACGGATGTCTGCGGTGTCATCGCTGCAGCAGACATTACACAGCTGTCTCAATGCCACACTCACTGTAGCCGTCTTAAGAGCAGATTGCATGCTGAAAAATAAATAGGTTACTTTTTTTTTTTTTTTTTTTAAACGCGACTCTGGGGAAAATGCAGTATGATGTATCGCCGCCAAAAGACAGGTGCTTTCCTCTGAGACCCTAAGATGGGCTGCTCCTCTTTTCCACAACAGTCCTGCAAACTGTTTCCCCCTACTGATTTATGGCTTAAAGTTTCTCCTCCTGCAGCAGCACAGTTATGACCTGGACACCACATGTTGCATGTTAGATACCGAACTTCTAGTTGTTTTTACCTCTAGTTGAATCATACCTTTTCCATATAAGTTCAAAGACAAAAATGTGGCGCAACAACCATATCATTTATCGGAATCATCTCTCTTTTAGGCAAATAAATCAACCAAAGGGCTTGTATGTTTACATAGTAGCAGTTCCAGTTCTTGGGTTCATGGACACACCCGAACATATTGAGAAACAGGTTAGACTGAAGATATCAAAAGCATAAAGGGTTGATTTATTGTATCCCTTGGCTGCCTCTAGCATGTGAATAGTATAATCTTCTTGGACTGATAATAAAGATTAAGCGTAGCCTCTCTTTCAATATGGCTCAACAGAACATGACGTGGCAGCCTCTTGCATTTATCATGAATTGTTCACAAAAAGTCTTCTTTGTTTGTGTGTAGGATCATGGAGTCTTCAGTTTGAATGTGCCAGCAAAGTGTGCGTGCTTCGCAGCCTGTTGTGGCTCGGCCTGACCTCCTACCATGTGCCGATGACGCCACAGCACGGATACATCTATATCGGTGATGGGACCAAGAATTTGGACCTTCCCTTCATGCTATAAAAAGATACATCGTACACCTATTTCAAGCTAGAAATCCCCTTCGTGTATCAACCCTCAAAATGTATCAAACGCAACATATTGCTGGAGTTTTTGTTTGTTTTAGCTGAAAAGAAATAAACTGAAGAAGTACAGTTGTTCTCTTTGTTCCATTTAGTTCTCATGCACAAAAGCTATTCCTATACAGTAAACACGTGTTGAGAGCATTTTATTTGCACATCTGTGTTGCCTTACGTATACAAAGTCCACACACCACCTACTTTGCAACTGCAGCATTAACCCAGTTGATACTCACATTAAGTTGTCAAGAGAGTTCACTTCAAGGGCTTTTTAAAAACCAACAGAGACAGAATAGATGGTTCTGGGTGGGGCTGAGCATGATTCATTAAAAGCGTGACGCAGCTTAATAAACAAAAGGTAGTATAAATACAGATGGATGAAGCTTTTAGGCCTTTTCCCATGGAAATATGAAGTCAATGCACTTGGAACTGTGCCCTTGCATAAAAGGGCCCACCCACTCTCGTCCAGTTGTTGTACAGATTCGTCACGCTTTCTGTCCTTCAGTGTTTTAAGTAAAGGGGCTTGACACCATAACGCACATTGTCCTTGAGTGCTGGGTGGCCGACAGCCATGCGTTTCTTACACCACTTCAATCCAGTTTTATAGATGGGTTTCACCGAGTCAATGGACCAACGGGTCAGGTATCTGTACAATAAACAGCAGATGTGAACAAATTATTGCTAGCTTCAGTTTCTGACAACTGATAGGTAATAGTGGGAAACACACACGTGGATACATTACCTGTTAAGCTGTGCTTTGGGCTTCTTTGGGACATGGCCCTCTGGAAGTTTGGGTCTGTGGTCAGGCAGCAGGCCTTGAGCAGAGAGGAAAGACAAATGTCATGTTTATGTACTTAATTTAAATGTGTTGAGGGACTCATCAAAGACAACCAATTATCAGTAAAATAGGTCCAAAAAGGACAGAACAGATAGAATTTGCTGGATTTTATTGATGCAATACATTAAGATTCACACTACTAAAAGTATGAACAGTTAAACTAACTCATTAGCACTTTTACCAGCCTTGTTGTCTGCACTCTCACAGTTTGGTTAAGAGGGAAACATTTGCTTTAAATCAACAATGTTTAAACTATTAGTCGATTAATCAACGGAAAGAAACCAAAAATATGATAACCGATTCAGCATATATTATGGTCTTCAATAAATTCATATGTAATTTAGAGATTTTTTTGGTCAGTTGGTACAACTTCTCACCATATTGACAATGTCAATGCCTACATTTGTTTATGCCTTTATTTGCTTATCTACGACACTGAACTGTATTTGAAATGTGTGGAATCATTTTAGATTTGTACCTTAAGGTACCCAGTGTCAAACAGATAATGAAGGGCGAGGGGTAATTGGAGTTTGGAGTGGATTCAGATGTAAATACACAGACATGGGGCAGGCAGTAACACTGACCTGCTCTGTGGGCCATCTGCACACAGGCGGCGATCTTATTATGCTCCTCTGGACAGAGACCAGTGATTCTCTTGGGTAACATCCCTCCATCTGACCTGATGAACTGTCGGAGCAACAAGACATCCTAGCCCGGTGTGAAAAAAGAAATAAAACAAGGCACACTTTTACATCTGATACACTTTCCATAACATATGAGATAATAAGGTGATTAAATGCCTGTGGACGTATTTACCGTGTAGTTGTATTTATGCTGCAGGTTCCATCTGTAGATAGGACACTTGGCTGCGGGGTTTGGAGGCTGTGGTCCTGCTGGAACGTCCAGTATTTGACCCTCAATCTGACAGACAATTAACATGAGTACAGTTAGTATGATAATAAGATATGGTTGACTGAATATTTACATATGAAATGTGTTTTTTTAACATGAGTCCATCTCTCCCACTATCCAATCCAACTGTTGGTTGTAGAGGTGCGAGTGCAGGTCAAAGGAGTTTCCCTTTGTTGCATCTCCACACGTGACAGAGCCTCTCCTTTGGAAAAATAGGTGAAATTTATCCTTCAATGCTCTGTGTTGCTCTCGTGGTTGCAATTATGTAATCTGACCCTAAGTTGACACAAAATGTCGATGCTGTGTAAAACTGCTCTGGCGAAAATGATTTCTCTGATGAAAAATTACAGTTAAGATACAAAGTGCAGACAGTGCAAAAAGTAAAAAAATAAAAAAACGGGGATGTTATGGGAGTTTATACCTGCTACTCCTATTCTTTATGACAGAACATTTTTCCTTTAGAGGACCAGTGTGCAGGATTCAGTGGCATCTAGCAGTTAAGTTGTAGATAGCAACCATCTGAATATAGCTCAGCTTTCCAAACATGCAAGAGAAACTACGCTGGCTTATTTTCAGATGATTATACACTAACAAAAACATACCTATGAATATTATATTCCATTTCTTCCAATAGATTATCCAAAAATGTTTAACACACTGGACCTTTTAATAGTACATACATACCTACTGTAATCATCTATCCCAACCCACCAACAGCAGTATATATCAACTGAGGTTTATTTTTGATGAGGATGGTGGATCCGCTGTTTAATTTAACTACTGCACAAGTTCAATTTAAAATCCACAGAATACCTCATCACTGCTCCCGTTACATAACAGAGCTTGTCTTAATAACCAGTCGAGCAAAGGTCTAAATTATTAATATTAAATAATATTTAATATGATTTATGTTTTTGTGTTTAATAACAGCTGTCATGATGCAAATAAAAATTATTATCATCAGCTTTCACATCCCAGCCTGGACTTTACTTACCGTGTTGTTTTACCT